ATTATGTAGACAGTTCATTTGCAAAGACAACTTTACTTTTAATGTTGTGGTTCCCGCAAACCCACCGGACACTCCTTCATTGAATCCGCCGGCTGCACTGTTCTCAAGCCTGCCAGCCGCCGCTCAATTAAGCCCGCCATGTGTTTCGTTGTGAAAGCGAAACTACTTTGTTTGGTCTTCCAAAAGAGGACACGACTAGAAATCAGTGGTTAAGTTGTATTTACAACACTGTTCCAGAACAGTTCAACCCAAATATTCAGATGTGTGCAGCGCATTTTATGGAGGACTGTTTCCTGATCCTGGGAGAGTAGACTACAATGCCGACTGTTCTGACTCACAGACTGTAAGTATGTTTTCATAAAGGATTTGCCACTGATGATTCAAACGCGAGTTTTGGGCAGTGTAGAGCAGCGCTTGTTTTTTGTCGTTTCTCCGATCACAAATGCAGACATGGTTTTATGTTTAAGCGGCGCGCGATGCAACACGTACAAAGACAGTATAAGTCATTATAATCTGTAATTATGTCCCCACTGGATGCAACAGATGCCTCGTTTATAATGGGTTTTAATGTTTTTGTCTCGTCGCTCCGGCCGGACACGCCATCACAGTATGGTAAGGGGCGTAACATTTCCGTCACATGCTTGAGGTATTCGGCCAATCACAATGCACTAGATTGCTGGCCAATCAGAGCACACCTCGCTTTTCAGACTGATGAGCTTTGTAAAAATCATCGTGTTTTGTAAAAATCGTGGCGTTTCAGAGAGGCGGGGCATAGAGGAGAAACAATAATGTACAGTATGTGGAAAATAATGTGTTTTTTGAACCTTAAATAAACATATTTCATTACACCAAATACACAAAATAATGTTCTTTTTTAGCAACATCATATGACCCCTTTAATTTCATATTGTCTTTAACATGGCCAGTGTCAAAAATAACTCATCAGTTCTAGGTGCTAAAGGTGAATAATTGTCTTCCAAAATATCTCCTTCTGTTAAAATAATGCGTTTCTGTTTTCTTTCAACGATAATGGCTACAGCAGGAAGGCCTAAATTGCATTTGAGGTCTCAGTCTGACCCTTTTTCATTTGTGATTCAACTTAATTGGCTCTTCTTTGAAAAAAAGGAGACATCCTACTGTCCACTGTAGGCGTATTGCTGAGGGATAAACAAAGGAAATGAGCTGAAATTTGATGGAGAAGGTGGACACAATGCTAACCTGATATAGCAGTGAAGGTATGGGAATGAAAATAGTAACATCTAACCAATTTAAAACGTTAGAGCTCATTAACATGTTGAGCATCATGAAATGGGTAAACGAGTGAATCAGAAGACAAAATATTATTAGAGAAATAAGAAAAGACATGATTATCACAATAGGAACAGAAGTAAGCAGACGTTTCATCAATGCAAGAAATACTGTAGATGTGGAGCATTAAATGGTTAATTCACCCACAAATGAAAATTAGGCTGCGTTTTACTCACCTTCGAGGCATCCTAGGTGTATATGACTTTCTTCTTTCAGACGAATCCAGTCGGAGTTATATTAAAAATTGTCTATGATCTTTCAAGCTGTTTAATGCCACTCAGCGGGTGCTGCGTTGCTTCAGTCCAAAATAACTTAAACTAAAATCACCCATCCATAAAAAAAAAAGTGTCTCACACGGCTCCGGGGGGTGAACAAAGGCCTTCTGTAGCGAATCGATGCGTTTTTGTAAGAAAAATATCCATATTCAAAACGTAATAATCACTTTAATGTAGCTTGTGCCAACAGTACACAGAAGCAGTTCCGGGAGCATGACGTATGAGGTCAGTGCTGCGCATGTGCCGGTGAGTCTCGTGAAAACCAACATTTGTTTACAGGATCAAAGGAAGCAAAGTTTCCTTACTTTAGCAAAGGAAAACCAGTCTCCTCTTGGCTTATATCGAAATCCTCTGACACTCTTCTTTACAAATCCTCGTTTTGTTCTTCTAATAAGTGACCGTTGTTTTGTTTTGATCTCTCC